TTATTTGTGTTGCTAGATTATTAATCCTTGCGTAATACATTTAATAGGACACAATATGTCTGTCTAGTCTATATTAATTAACGTCGAAGTTTCATGATATTTTTATCCTGAATCACCCTATTGTATCAATTAGCCGGACTCTTTCTTAATAACGTTTGAAGTATGAACACAATCCTACCGACAGAATAAACAGCAGAGATGGTAAGAAACAAACAGGACTATCATATCTGCATAATCGATCTAATCTGTTTTGTTAGTTTGTCCTTCGGACCTTACATATCCCGTCTAAAATCATGTGTAAATATTTTAAGTTAGTTTAAAATCAGATTAGAAGATCACGTGGCCAGAAGCAAATGTTATTCCACTGTAACAGATTTCTAATTTCCGGAAAAATATTCTGCTTCCATGACTCTCAAAAACCTGGAGAGCAAAGACATATGCCTGAAACTGGAATCTTCCACTTTGTGGTCCTCCATGTATGAACACACTTTACTCTTTTGCTTGTCATGGGATACTGAAAGTCATGATACAAAAGTACAGTTACAGGTATCGATGGACACCTGCAAGCTATGGGATATGGTGATAAGGCTCAAGAGGAGGTTGTACCGACCGAAATTCCACAATTTGGTCTGAATGAAGAAGGCCAACGACTCAAGGTATGATAATTAGAATAAGTCTAATTAGCGTGTTAACTAAGAATTCCCGAATTAGTGCTATCTGTGTTAGATAGAACTAGATGAGCACTACTGGACGTAATATATTTGAAGTTCGCAATGAGTGCGCAATCAGGCACGAGGAAATTATTAGCGAGTATAAATACAACAACCGTCACAACTGAAGTGGAAATTCAGATTTCTGCTGTCAGTTGTACGTCTTTTCCTCAGGTCCATCATGCTTTTGTTCGCCTGTGTATTCGGTATAATCTTTGCATGATCTAGAATGTACTTATTGGTGTTAGAATTAACAACGGAAATTGGAACAGACCCATCTTGGTCCTTGTAACGTATCCAGTTGTTGTGACTGGCTTTCATATGAACCATGGACTTATTGACCTGTTTTGGCAAACCTTTCGTAGACTATGGAAAAGGCATTCTTGTACGAAGATTTTTTTCTAAGCAATTTCACCATTGTTTCTTTTGCGTACGGCCTAGTAATTCTGCACTAAAAGACTTTGTCTGCTCTCCTCGACGTATCTTTGGATTTCGCAGCAGTATTAGAATGGACATTTGTTTACATGGTATTGGCATTTCTTGCTTGCGAATGAAAATGATAGAGCTTTGGGGTCACGAGTTGTTCTCACCTCGATTCTGTATTTAGCAAGTTGTTAAGCACTTCATTAGGACCGTCATCAGTGGTCAATGAGGAAAGCTGTCCCTGAAGCATTCCTAAGTCTTCTAGACCCAGTAGAGATGGCCCAAAATCGGTAATGAAGAATTCTTAATTTATGATTGAATATTTGTCGTCTATGATTTGACTGCGCGTTTACTGTATTTGTACTTGCATGCCATTTTGCTACGTTTTTCTTCTTGTCACTCTGTATTTTACTTAAAGTTTTGGTTTAGATCAGGTTTTCGTATGCATTGAACGCGGTATTCATTAGGGTCTCAGGACCACGTGTAGTAAATGCGGCTGTAATCGCTAACACACTGAGACGGTTAAAAGTTGGAAGATCGTTGTGCATAAATTCTAGCCTGCTTAAAAACTGAAATGGTGATAGGTCTCCGCGAAATTTCACGCAATCTACAAAGTCTCCCCCTATTTGACATGTTTAAAATGACTGTAAGACTGTATTTATTTCTAAACCTACTTATGGGTACTGCCGTATGTACATAAATAACTCTACATTAATTAATGGGACAGCTAATAATGGTGAGAGTCAGTATGAGTTTGGTAACAATGTGGTTTCGATTTTGCCTTCGCGTTCTGAAAGTAAAAGCTTATGAACTGTGTTGACATAATTTTTTAGATGTCACTGTAAAAAAAGGGGGAAATTCCTGTTCCCGCTGTAGTGGTGAGCGCATGCGTGTTGTAGTTACCTCAAATTTATTGAGGTACATTGGGAGTCTGTATTTACCGAAATTTGTTTTCATCATTCTCTGAATTTCACATGAGATGCTAATTTTTTATTTTTTCTACAAGTTTTGTCTTTTTTCTGTCATTTAAGCTGAGACTTCTGAGAGTTTTTTCAACCTACCTATGTGAAGCGACTGAGATTTCAACCAACTTTTCCGCTGGAATGAATTAGCAGAATTGTTACAGCTGCTTTTGTGCAAACACTGATAATAATTACTAATAATCCAGTCATTTCTATTATATCTGACTCGACAGATTGCCTGACATATTTGGAACCAATTAAGCTATATTTAAATTTCTGAAGGATTATGTTGAATGAAAAATGGATGTCATAGAGAGAATTAATTTCTTGAGACAGTGACAGGCCTCTAGTAAGCAGTTAGACAAGTGACCTAGCTTATAACAAAAAATGTCTTCTTTTGAATGTACCTCGAATGCATCCATAGGTGTATTGATTTTAAAATGTCCCGCCTATATGCCCATGAACTCTATCTGTGACTTTTATCACGAATGAAAACTTATTTTCTGTTCAAAGGAGTGATAATGCACTAGCTTTTACTTTATTTGCATGGAGAGTTAGCATCGAAATACACAATAAATGCCTGACTGTCTTGTTTCGTTTTGGTCTCTACCAATAAGTTTCCCCAGTAAGGCTTGTATTTTGGATCGTCCATAGCCGTAATTATGATAGTAAGTTTTCGGAATCCAGTGTTTCTAAATTTAAGTTATGAACCCAACTCTCAAAGGAACCTTCGTGATCCTGAATAGATCTTCGTTTAGTGATTTCATTCCCACTTTAGAGTGCCATATCACTGTTTGGTCATTTTAATTCGGTGGTTTTATAGACACGTTTAATTGCCAAGTGATATTAAGCTTGTTTTTTTAAGCAAAAGGTAACGTTGGGATTACTAGTAAATTGAAAAGCAGAGAGTATTTTAGTTGCAAGCAGTTTGACTGGAGGGATCTTGATGATTCTTATACAACAGCTGATTACATGGTTACGGGGATTTCCTCACAACCGCCCAATTGACAGTCTCTGACCTTAATGGCTCGAATATCTGGAATTATAGAGAGGCTATCAAAAGAAAAAAATATAACAGATGATGAGACAAGCAACTTAACCTAGTCTTCACTTCGTTTGCCAGCAGCCAAGCAATAACGAACGGTGTTGGTTAAACTTCCTAACCGATGAAGCTGAGATGCTGATTAACTTACAATCATAGAATCTACTATTTCGGGCTATGAAGCTTTTTAAATACCAGTTACCGTCATCATATTAAATTAATCTAGCTCGTTTCACCATTTATTTCTGCAGGTTATTCACTTCTACACTTAGTCCTATGGAATCACAAATTAGTAGTTACCGTCAGTCATTAATGCAGACCGTTTAAAACTCTCTGCTTTGTTGATAGTTCATACAAAGCTCCTTGAGCTGACAGATGTAGAACACATAGAGCACTCTGCTAAACTGAAATACTTAGCCATACACAAAATCAGATGATAGAGTAATAAAAGTTCACCATCATCTTTAACTGAAGGATACAAATGAATGACCAGTGTCCTTCTACAACTAACAAGTAGAATGCTAGGTGTCGAAAACATACTTGTTTCATCCACTAACATGAGATATTATAAAGTGAGCCTCACCAAGAACTGAATGTGAAGACCTAAAAGAAACGTTCTCGAGGTCCTGACATCCTTTTGGTCCTTAAATACTTTTGAGTGAGAAACAATACAGTATTTTTTGAAACGACAACAGTTTCATCATTAATATGTAATCAGGACCCAACAACCTTAGACTTGAAGTGCCATATCTCCCCTATCTGGCAACATAGACATAAAAATTAGATAGGGTTTTAGTTGATCTGATCATAAGACTCTGGCGGAGATATTACATCAGTGACTAACCCGTTCATGATACATCATATCACTTTAGGAAAAGAATACACAATGCAAACAGACGAACCACACTACATCAGTGACTAACCCGTTCATGATACATCATATCACTTTAGGAAAAGAATACACAATACAAACTGACGAACCACACTAACTATATTAGGTAGTAGCTGCCATTTCGCCGAGTCGTTAATCTAACTATTAAAAAGACTGACGTCTATGTGGATTGACACGGAACACACAGACTGATGTCAGATCAACTTTCTTCTGAGGGCCCTGGATAGAAATTATCAGTGTAAGTTAAACACTTCCAGTCCTTTTTCATGAACTGTATGACCAATAATTAAATGATATAGCGTAATTTTCTAGACAAATCACAATCTATAGTCATTACTCCAGGAATAGATTAGGATAAATGAACTGAACCTAGCAGGTACGCTGAATTAGTTAGATTTTCCAATGTGTATGTATATATGTATAATAGGAACTAAGCGTGTATCTACATCACAAATACTGATCTTGATGCAAAGTTCATAACAGGTTGGTGGGAAGAATAGGATAAAATCACTAACTCAGAAGGTAAAAACCTTTAAAAACTTTGTTTCGAGACCATTTTACAACCTAGTATAAGGCAGTGAATATAGGCTACGCTCAATCCTTCAGTATGATGTTAGATTGTATATATGGTGGCAAGGGACATTTCTCATATTCACGAATTTGTAACGACCAGGGTTCAGAGACAACTACGAAGGACCGCAAACGATTTAGGAAAAGTGACCCAGTGACATCCCTAGTAGATTATGTTTAAAAAACATTTTATTACATGCGATCAAATTAACGAATTGGTAATCCTAGTCCTCGGACTTAGACATGTACCTCGCAAATAAAGCTACATTACTTTCTCATCATCGCCGTTAGGAGAAAGTAACCATTTACTTGAAATTTCCAAGAGTAACATACAATAACATTGATGTTAATATTTAAAATATCGCATGGGGTTTAAGAATTTGTTGTACTAAAACAAAATGGAACACATGATAGAAAATTTATTTCCACAATCAGTTTATACAGGTGAAAAAGTTAGGCAAAAAATGATATAAAGAACGATAGGATTAAAAAAAGACAGACAAATGTGCATATATGTTCACTATTTTATAGTCATATGAAAAGGGAGAATAGGAGGGAATCGTTGATAGATTGGTTTGAGAGAAACAATTTAATCAAAATACATATAGAATACGGTTATATATAAATGAGCTTAGAAGCCCCCATCTGGTTGACTATTCATAAATGCTTCTTGAATTTCTTTCACCATTTTAATTCTATTAAGTATCACTTGCAATTCAGTCGGTCGAACAGGATTGGTTGAAAACCACAAATCAGATTGTGGAGGGTATAATGGATTCAAGTAGAACACACTATCGGAATCTAGTAGTTCTGGGGGACTGGAATATAAATGAAATAGAGAATCGCATGCAACAATTATGGTTGCTATTATTAGTAGTATTTGTGGCAATAGAGGAAAACATAAATACTAAATGGGATAACTTCTTAGTTGCTTTACACCAAAAATTGTATGAGTCATTTTGTCTAACTAAGCAACTAAATAAAATCATGTTTCAAGTTAATGGACAAAACTGATAACTAAGAAGTATACTTAGATGGTTTCAGTCGGTTACAACGTAGGACCAGGCACATATGCGCATCGATTTAATTGCCGTACCGCATTAGCACAACAAGATGAACACCGGATTCATAGGAGTGATTAAGTCAACGGTGGTAATATATAAAGGAAAGATTGCATATAAAGACATAGTACAGGAAGAAAGATACAAAGCAATTTTAATCTCTTAGTTTAAGGGAAGACAGAGAGTGTGTATACACCGACGCCATTGTGATCGATTCTGAGCCATGTCACCAAGAGTCTCCAACCATTGGATACGATAGTCATACAGACTCCAACTAAGTAGTCTGCATCTACCAACATGGCTCAGACTAGAAGTTAGTGACTTCAAGGACTGATGCCACGTTTTGGTTTGGCCGCTCCTAACTTTCGTCCAATCGTCTCCAACATCAGTCAGCATTGCGCGTCGTGGTAATCGGTGTTCAAGCATACGTAACACGTTGCCCAACCATCTCAGTCGATGAAGATTCACAACCTCATCGACTGATTTACCATCATTCCCTAATACCCTGCGTCTAACCTTATTATTACTTACCTGGTGATCCTAGTAGATGCGAGCAATGTTTCTACGGCATTTGTGGTCAAATACTAGTAGCTTACGAGTAACTTCTACGCCTAATGGCCACGTTACACAGCCGTTAAGTAGAAGAGAACGAACTACCGTGAGATATACTCGTCTTTCTATTGACAGAAAGATACCTCGACTTCGCCACAGGTGACGTCGATAAGTGGACCTCCTGGAAGGAGATCAATACCCGAGAATTAAGTCGACAAGAATGTTATTTCTATCAGTAGGTCTATGATGAAGTCAAACAAAAATGGGGAGATTGGATAGCCATGACGGACACCACTTGAAGTTGCAAAAGCAGATGACAGTTCGCCATAAGTTCTACCTCGACTTGTAGTGTTCGAGTAAAGAGACTTTTCAAGGTTTATGTACTTCTGAGGTACACCTTCGAATGACAAAAACTGCCACAGAATCTCGCGGTCTACGGAGTCAAATGCTTCTTCTAAGTCAAGAAAGACCATTGTCTGACGCTGATATGATCTGATTTGTTTACGCTCTCCATCGTGTTCAGAACCTGATGGAATGAGTTTGCGAGAATTCATCAGTGCAATAGACCTTGAAGAAATCCATTGGTTCTTTGTAAACATGTGGTTTGAATCACTAATAGATGTCACTGCTGTTTCCACAGCTGCTTGGAAAGGAAGTGGTTGTACGATGTTTAGATAATGTTGATCTTCAGATGGAATTGATATCTATAGCAATCAGGTTATGTTTCTGACTGAATGAACAATAATTCAAGCCGAGTAATAACATGATCTCATCTTATTTTGTTGTCAATACTTTACGAACAGTGATAATTTTAATATTCTGTTTTAACTACTGTATTTATTATTTTAAAGGGTCACACTGAATTTACACAGGAACTCTATGCTATAATACAGTGGACAGGTGAGTATTGGGATAAAATTGTTAATTTTATATTTTTATAGAAACTTACCAACGGGCAAAGTATGCTTTGTAAAGTTTAACAGGACATCGTCGTGGATTTTGAGGATTTGCATCTAAACTTAATGTAGTGATAGAATCATCTGATTCACCAAACATATTACCAGGTAAATGACAAAGAACAGCTGTTTCAGAGATTTGAAATTGTGAGAATGATAATTGTCGATGAACGGTACCAAGTCGTAAACCAATATGTTTGGTATTGTAATAAAGCATAGTGAATAATAAAATCTAAAATATACATTGAATAAAAGAAAATAATAGAACTAATAATAATGCATAGTATTTTTAAAGTTTATTCTTGACGATCATCTACATTTTCTGGCTACGAAGTAGCAGAATGTAAATCAATGGACTACTAGCTAGTTATGGAGCAATGACTTAGTAATTTAAGGTGTCCGACTTTCACTCACTACAGCCCAGGTTTGAATCCTGCTCTATCTACTTTAATTTAGGAAACCAGGCAGTACCTTTAGCTTTTACATTTGGAGCACGAATCATACATAAATACTTGGTGAATAAATTTGATTTGATTTAATTCTGGAACGATGAGTTGTGTAAATAGGGTTGTTGTTCTAAACTATTTCATTAGGTTCATGAATGAGATCATGAACTAATTGATATTAGACCACCCCTGAAAACATGGAAGCACTGAACGGCCGTTTCGTTCTAATGTGGGACTCCTCAGCAGTGCTTTCAGGTTTTCAATGATGGTCTAACATCAATCAGTTCATGATCTCGATCAAAAACTTAATAATCTCCATAACCCTTTACTCGTAAGGTTTAGACGAAACAGTTATAGATCAGTGTGTTAATTTGATAGAGGGTTTCACAATTAAACAGTTTAAACTAGAGATTAATCTGACATTCCCAATTTCTTATTTTGCATAGTTCTAACTCTCATTTATAGTTTGTGTATCTATTTTCATCTCACTTAAATTGGTCGAGAATAATGTCACTTGTTAGTGTTTGCAGACTTGAACTTAAATGCTTCACAGAAAAGTTTGGTTTATCCTAAGGTTACTCAAAATCTTTAAATTCATGTAAATGAATTAACAGTTTATGTACTTACCTCCGAGTCACACTGTTTACACGGGCAAGTGGGTTAGTGTTATACTATCTGGAGTCCCTAAAATGAAGTTAAGTGTGGTTTGAATCTTCAATCTATTGGTTGCTATAGTTCAGAAGCAGCATTGTTAGTGGGGACCAATAGACATGAAATCTACTATTATGATTTTCTACAAATGCATTTTATTACTTTATCTTACGTAGACGGAAGAAAATTTCCAAATTAATTGATGCCAATTGATGGTTTAATGTTTACAACTAAAGACATAAACATCCTATGAGCAATTCTTACTGATATTTCGAAGTATATATCATATCAAGAAATAACACGTAGTTATTTATCAAGAGATTTCCCAAATGTCTTCATGTTGATATTTAAACAATCTTTACAATAAACATTCAAAATGTTTACGTACACATAAATCTTGGAATACTAATCTTTTTTAAAAATCTCTTGAATACATTAGAACCTACCTCAGCTGATTGTGAACCTAATTGTTTTGCTTCCCATAAATGTTCTTCTTCGATACGACAGATAAGAAGTCCTTCAGGACTAATACGTGGTTGGAAATTGGCTAATATTTCATTCAAAGCTCTAGATAGACTAGTGAACGCAGGATCGCCAAATAAGTTTACAGTACGACCATTTTCGTTGAGATACTCTTGAATACCTTTTAGAGTAAACGTATACGATCAAAAAAAACAAAGTCCCATTACTATCACTTAAAGTGAGATAAAAGTAGAAATAATAGTTGTATCATTTCAATCAACTAAAAAATAAAGGATTTTTGAGTAGCATATTCACATTTGGCAAACTAGTTATGCTTGTCAATATCACTCTCTTTACTCCGAAAGATTGCTGACATCTAGTGGCAGCACTATGCTAGTAATTTAGAAGTTCGGCATCATGTGTTCAGGCGCAGTGATGATAAATCAGTTGGTATCACCACCATGAAACATCGAATTTGATGGCTTAGACGTTGCTCACGAATGTCATCCCAGAGAATTCCTCGTCGTGCATTAATTGCCGACGATGGGAGTGATTGGAAAAAGCGGAGAGGTGCTCAGTGTATAACATGGTGTCGTGGTATGAAAGCTGCACAGGACTGGCTTCTGTTGGTTCTTCATGACTCCATGGTCGGAGTCCTAGAGATGATGTAACATAGTGGCCTGAGACACTATCAGACATGGCTCAGAATAAAAGGCAGTGGCAGTCCTGCTGTAACTTTCTTTGTAAGAATGAACGTGATTTCTTTAACTGAACTGCCTCTCCCATTATTGTTTCACTCTCATACACTAATTTCTGTTTGTTGTTCTTCTTCTTTTATTATACGCACTTGACATTGTCCATCAACTTCACGACCTCATTGTTATCGTGTGGTGAATGTTTTAGGTGTTCCCTTGAACCAATGTTTATGTGTTCAAATTTATAAATTAAATAAAACTTAAAGATCCGTTCTATTGTTACATTACATTAAGATTATCAAGCAACTACAGGATTACCTAATTGCGCTTAAACAAAGTTATACGATAAAATCAACATAGTAATAATAATTTCAATTTTTAAAACTCACCTAGACACAAATAGAAAATTGAATCAGCCACATAACATTCATTATTTGGTTTGCGAACTTCACGAACAAACTGACTTAATGCGATATTAAGATCGGCATCACTCATGTTTAATAAATCAGCATATAAGTGTGAATATTGTTGCATTGCAGCTGCATTAGATCTAGGTTTGTCTGTAGATGAAGAAGTTGATTTTTGCTGCACCCAGTGACGCCATGCATTGATCCCATAAGAGAATTTCAAATGGTAATTAGCATCAGATGTAAGTATGGGTGTGAGAGTTTGACGAGACCGTTTAGTTGGGGGTGGAGGTGGCAGCGATTGATCTATCTCTCTTCCACTACTGGAATGACTCACAACCGATGTCATCGGTTGATGATGGTGAAATGGTGGATTATGTTCATTGGATTGTTGTGTGGCAGTTGACTCTGAAGCCCACGAGTCTGAAGATGATGACTCTTCTGGAGCAGGACGTTTAAGATTAGATACATTCTGAGATTTTCCAGGAGCATCACTAGGCTATTTTTTAAAAGAGACATTGAACAATTAAGTAGGATAACTTAATAGACATATAGTGCAAACAATTAAATTTCCGAAATTTATGATAACTGATATTAGCATATTGAAAGCATAAGTACTTTGAGCCCCAAAATACCCTTGTACGGCCGAGGGTGGGGAGAGTCAATTCTCCCTCTTGAAATGCTCTCACATGATCACGCATATACAGTCACTACTAGGGAAGTCCTACTCACTGTGTTCTCGCGGAGGGGATATTGTTTACGAAATGGAGAGGACGAAAAGCGGGTTAGTGGACACGGAAGGTCCACCTGGGGCAGTGAGAAAACCCTCATTCTAAACAAATGGTGCACATGAACTCCAAGATCCTGAAGGGACAAATAGCGTATAAACAAATTGTTGATTACCGGCTACCATGAGACTGTATCACCTGACGTTGCTCCACTGCCTTCTGGATCAGACCTTTAGGTCAAAGGCTCGGAGTGTGACCCCCTAAGAAAACCATGTGCTTCGGTGTGGGCAACCGGGCAGTATCACAGCCCACACACAAATCAAGTGCCTTTTGTGGCGGCATATGTATTCGGTGCCCTTTGTACCAATATTTATGTGTTAAAATAAATAAATAATTTATTTGCTTTTCAAATCATAAAACTTTTTATAAGAGAGGACAATTTAGGAATTGTTATATGAAATTATTAATAGGCAAATTATTTAAAACTTGTCTCAAAATCAGACAACTATTTCTGTTATTTCAGTTTTTAGAGCTATATGCCACAATGGGACAGTTGAACAAGTGATAGTGTTAGTGATAACTATCTGGTTGTCCGAATCGATGTAGACGGAGTGGGGCACAAAGCTGAGAACTAGCGGTTGAAAACTGAATGCCCGAATCACTGGATTACAGCTCTACTACATTACTTATACAAAGTCGTTGAAAAATGTACAGTAAAGGAATCAAAAGCTTTTGATAATCAACTTTATATGTGTTCAGAGATACTTTGTCAGTCAGCACAAACAATAAGACTTCAAATTACAATTTGCTGAGATATGAGAATGAAGATAGGAAAAAGACTAACCTCTTCAATTGTCTCTATATCGCCTTCTTCGTCATTTGACATTGATGATGTACATGGATAATCAATCGACTGTGTTGAACGTTCTAAATCACCAACCTGTGTATCGGCTTGATTATCATTATCTCCTACCGTTACTGATGAATCATGTACATTGAATTTAACGGAAGAGTCGATGAGTGCTCTACCAGTGCTTAAGTCAACTTGTTGTCCTTGGTCTAAAATAATTCAAAATAGAAAGAATTTTTTTATTGGGAATAATGTTGAATTCTGTATCTTTGGGATATATGTCAGTATGTTTCAGTGATGGAAATCTAACAATAATTAGAAAAATTACAATACTTATTGAAAGTAGACTCGTTATTGAATGTTTAAAGAACTACTTTCTTTATTGGTCGTAGAAACAAACGGACAGTTGCTGTAAGTGGAACAAATTTTCTTCCACCTCACGATGCTCACCTTTATTAACATACATCATTTTAATAGTTACCTTTTTCCAATGGATATCGCTGAAAACAATTAACACCAACCTAATTACATGCCGGTGACTGGTGGTTGTTAATTGGATAATAAAATATGATCATGAATGGCAATTTCAATTAATAGCCCATGGAGTAAAATGTGTCACTTATTAGTTATTAGATGCTCATGTACTAGCCTATGGGCCGAAGCTGAAAAAACTTAATGACCGGTTAAAATTCCGAAAGTGAGGTAGGTGTTCCAGTTCCATAGCAAATCACAAGCTGAAACTCAAGTGGATACGGCAATGAGGTATAGCTTCACTAATGAGCAAGTTACTTATATGTATGTAAATCAGTTTCCGGTTGAAAAATTTACCACCAAGAACACATAGATAAGTTTTTAGTGGTTTATTAAGCTCAAGAAACAAGATTACAGCAAACTGCAACGAGAATTAGAATAATGAAAAGACCTGATGATACGTATCAAGACTTATTCTAATATAACCTATAAGATATAATCCTTCATATGAAGAATGAACTTATACGACTACACATATGTTTCCAAGAAGCTCAAGTGAGCAATATGCAACGACTACATCACACGTTATAATTAGTGACAATGTTACGGCGTCACAGAAATATTGCGTAACACAGGTATAGTATACAGTAACGCATTAGAAATTTTAGGTTATTAACTTATGGTTTTGATTATCAAGGCTGTCCTAATCCGACACTTGTACTATTTCTAATTGTTGTCGATTGATTTTATTCTTAAATGTAAACGTGTTCCATGTGTTTACTGAGTCATCGGCTTACTGTTTTACTCTTGTTCTTTTCTCTTCCAGATTCTCTGGCACGCTGCTCTTTACACCCCTGCAGTACACAAAATACATTCAGTTTAGACGTAAATCTACTAAAGGTGGAACGTAACAATACACCAACACGTGGAGTGCACAACCAGGCTCGATCATTATTTAAATGAAACGTAAATAATACCATGGACAATTAACTAATAGACAGTATTTTACCTTCAACATGCGGAGTTTCTGGAGTAGCATCGAAGACAAGTGGAATTGGAACTGGACATGGTAACGGATAGGGGATTGCATATGGCACTGGTCTTGCGTATAAACATACTGGAAAAGGTACATAGATTGGAACCGGGATAGGTATGGGTAGTACAAGTGGCATTTTTTTCAATTCATCTTCATCGGTTAAATCTAAAAATATAAGTAAGATAGGGTAAATCAAAATTTTCGAAAAAAAGATTAAAGATAATCGAACTGCAGTGTACATCAATAACCTACTTTATGGAATAGTAAGAAACTAGTGTTTTATGATTTATTAATAGCTAAATTTTCCAACATTTATTTGCATGTTTTTTTCTGATAACAAGTACTGAGTAGACAAAATATCTTGTTGGAACTACGTATAGGACAGTAGTAGTATTAAAATGCTTCAAAATGAAGCGAATAATCTCATGTTAGCCACTGATGTTTTAAATGATGTATAAACGGAACTATGTTGAATAAAGACACGAATATAGTGGATGTTGGGAATATTTTTCGAATTATTATCATTTATAAACTTTATTACTAAATTAGCAGATAACTCGATTGTTGCATATACACACCTCTTATTGTAAGATTTTAGTGGGACTATTAACTATCTTCCAGAGTATTAGTGTGAAGCAGTGACCAGGAGTTTAACCGTTTCGGACAGCGGAAAATGGTCGCTTAATATCCTGGGTTGATTAAAGTTGGGCATTAACATCGACCAACGAACTCAGTCGTCTAAAGTTTGGGTGTTTGCATGTGAGACAGAACGTTCTGGGTTCGAGTCTCGCATACGGAGTTTTGGATGTGCATTGGTGAGGACCCCCGTACGGGGACGAAGCGGGTGTGCAAAGATCCCAAGTTTTCAGTGTTTATCAGACTTTGATCGTTTCATGATTTCATTAATACGGTTCGAAAAGATAGCGGGAAGGTATACATGAAGGAATATTGGAATTCAATATTTAGAAGACCAAGAGAGGATCTGAGTCAGTGTGAACGATATTGAGTGATATCACTAGAAGTCTTCAACCACTGATCGTGGTTATCGTATGGATCCCAACTAGGTGAAATCTAGATCTACCAATACGGATCAGACCAACAGTCAGTGACGCTACGGACTGATACCACATTTTGGTTTAGCCACCCCTAGATTATAAAAAAGCATTACCTGTGAAAAATCCCATTTTGAAGGTATTTTTCGCAACTTATTGAATTTACCTTGTAATAAGCACTTACCTGTTTGAGTGCCAGATTCGACAAAAGCGATGTCATCAGCAGTGGATGTCTCAGCACAACTAAAACTTGGTTGGTCAGATTTCATTATTATTTGATCATCTTCAATTTCACCTACAGGTACCATATCATCATCGTCGTCGTCATCATCATCATCACTCTCAACTGGTTTTGTGTCAACAGTCTGGGTTTGCATTTCGATTCCAAGAGATGTTTTATCATTTTTGTTACTTGATTCTGTTGCGGTTGGAGAATTATCCGTTTGCACAGCAACACCATGTTGGGATAAATTCTCGTATGTTGTTGCATTCGCTTGAGTTTTACGACACATGGACAATGGTCGACATAACACAGCTTTGTTGCGCATGGCAACCGGGGCCGCTGGTTGTAAAATGACTTGTTGTTCAATGCCCAATTGTCGAACCATATCAATTGGAACAACAGGAAACTGACCCTATAATCAAAGTGAAGAGGAAGATTATTACATGAAGGTTATAGTCGATCGAAATCTTGAAAAAATATAGTACGGAAATTCATGTAAATATTTATGGCTTAACTCACCCTCAAAGGCCTTCGACCTCGAGGGCGGCCTCGACCACTAGTACCAGCTATTGCGGCGGCTAAACGATAACCAGAGTCTCGATCCACACCCATGCTGCCTATTGCACCAACACCGCCTGAAACAATATTACTGGATGGTGTGCCCGAAGGTATCATTGTAGCTGCCCCTGCACCAGTTATACCTTGATTAACACCTGATATCGAACCTCCTCCAGTCGTACCAAATACAGTAGCCGAAGACGGAGTATAACGAGTACCCAAAGATAGTAATCCTGAAGCTGCAGGTGCTAGTACAGTAGATTGCAGTCCAGCTGATTGAGCTGCAGGAGCACTTGCATTTAGAGGTTTACGGCTATGAAAGGTATAAAGTGCAAAAAATTATTGAAAAAATTTAATCAATTTATCGAATATTAAAGGAGGAATAATAACCATATGAAAAACAAGTGATAAACTTAATGGATAATTAATACCGAAAGTAGATATCACTCGAACAACACATGGAATTAAGTTTACCAACGGTATGCATCCAGAATACATGTGATGTAGAACTAGCAGTACTTAAACACTTTTTGATGATTTAAATTTTATGAAATTATGATTGAGCATGGAACTACTACGAATATGGACCAGTATTTAATTATAAGTGTGATGAATCGAATGATGAATACATTACATACAGAGAAGACAATGCAACATATAATCTTGAAATATGAACTTTTATTCATATATATTCGCTGTTTGGATCAAATGCAGTCCTAAATATTAATGGGAAGATACAAACAACCAATATATATGAATTAAAACTCACACCATTGCACAAGCTAATGGCTATCTGAACTCAGTGGCTAAGTGGATAAAGTAATGGCATTTGAGGCGGACGATACAGGGTTCGAGTGAACATCAACTTACAGATCCAACCACATCCAGTTGATGAGTCCCGAATATGACGGGACGCGCGTCCTGAGTTCCTCTGGTAACTACCATCTATCTCTGCTTAAGGTGAACTTTTATTGTTATAGTTGTAAAACATTTTGGTGGAATAAAGCCACCAAGGAACGGGTCATATAAACTAAAATGACAGCAATCTAACGAAATATGAAAAAGACCACAGAATCAAAGTAGATTTATTTCAGTTACACAGCATCTTACCCATATATGGAATACAATAAGAAACTAAACGGATAACCACTAGTTTATAATTTGAGCCATGGATTTATAACATCTCAAGTAACTAAGAGTTGCACGGTTCGCAGAGTCTACCCAATGACTAACAGTTTTATGTCGTTATGATTTATTCCATAGTACCGTTTTATAAACTAATCATTTCTCCATTTTTTCTATCCACTATCAACTTTGATAAATAATACAAGCTACTGGAATGGTATTCGTTAAACATGTCCAGTTCATCGAAAATATTGACAAATGAATTATCATCAATGTGTTTTGTGGAGATTTTTAGAAATTTTCAGATTGAAATCATGAGTCAGTTGAAGCTAGATCACCATTGAAAACCTGGAAGCACTGGACGGCCGTTTCGTCCTAGTATGGGACTCCTCAGCAGTGCGCATCCACGACCTCGCACCACCTGGGGCTCGAACCCAGGACCTACTGGCTTTGCGCGCGAGCACTTAACCACTAGACCACTGAGCCGGCATCCAACGGTGTTAATGTCTAACTTCAACCAATCCACGAAGTTGCGCTACCGTACACCATTGTCTTCAGTGAGTTCCTCACAACAGACCTGGTTGAACTCCACTGGTAACGACTTCTCACTAGAACTCCAGAAGTGTCTCCTGGAGTCAGTCACTAGTGAGCGGGTGATTATTATTATCAGAATGTGTTTTGTGGAAATTTTTTAGAGATTTTCACAGATTGAAATCATGAGTCAGTTGAAGCTAGACCACCACTGAAAACCTGGAAGCACTGGACGGTGTATAGTAGCGCAACTTCGTGGATTGGTTGAAGTTAGACATTAACACCGTTGGATGCCGGCTCAGTGGTCTAATGGTTAAGTGCTCGCGCGCAAAGCCAGTAGGTCCTGGGTTCGAGCCCCAGGTGGTGCGGGGTCGTGGATGCGCACTGCTGAGGAGTCCCATACTAAGACGAAACGGCCGTCCAGTGCTTCCGGGTTTTCAATGGTGGTCTAGCTTTAACTGACTCATGATTTCAATCTGTGGAAATGAATTATCCTTTACTGAAATCTGAATACATAACGCTTGAAGTTTTCTTACGCTCATTGAATTTAACTGGATTTTTCAGTGGTGAAAGCGTCATTCAAAAGACTTGAAAGATGATGAACTATTTTCGTGAAACACATTATGTTAGATTTTATTCATATGAATGTTCTAATGTTGCTGAAATCAATTTATTAAAATCAACTATAAAAAACAGAACCTGATATGTGTTAGCCTAGATTTTTATACAACATCACGGCGAGATGAACTTAGCAGGATGAATTACAGAAGAGTTGAAATAGTAGTGATCTGAACGACTAGATATCGGAGAATACAGTTCGAACATAGATTAAAGTAGCAAAAAGTACGAAATAATATTGAATATCACAACTAACATGAAGATAAAGTGAATGGACTTGAGTCTGTATGAAGAACTTCACCTAAAGCTTAAAGGGTTGCTGCCGGTCCCGATCTCAGGTAAAGGAGGCTGGAACATGAGGTTAGCAAACCTATTTCGTAGAACGGAAACTTGCTAAAAAAGAATGCTTTGCGATCAGTCCTAGGAAGTATAACCCAACGTCTCCAAAACACTGATCACAGTTATCGCGCTGATCTCAACCACGTAGTCTGAATCTACCAACGCGGCAAAAACAATTAATGATTTATCACGATTTCGATTTAGTTACTAGTCTCTGAAAAAGCGAAACACTTGTTTCTGTAAAAAAATCTCGTCTTGTCTTTTAATCATTAGAAAGTTTGAAACTCAACAACAAAATGGATATAACTTACATAGTTCTTAATCCTTCTCAAATAACCTAATCTAAATTAAGCTTGAACATGAAACATCGATATTATCATAAATTTCATGAAACACAAGGAATGAACTAGTGGGATGCGAGATCTAACGAACTAACATAAATATTAATTTACTTTGAAATTTTATAAACTAACATCCACTGACTTTCAATCTCAACCGTTTATTACGGAATACTCTAACGTTAAGAAATTAAGAATTTGCGAGAATTTGAGTTCGGGACAGTGAATGAATTGAATGAACATATAAACATTAGCATTGTTAAGTTATATTACCGTTGTATATATTATTGGAAAAATAACTAACCTGGTGATGCTACGTGAATTACGATTTGCATTGAGGGAAACCCAACGAGCATCATTACTACTCAAAGTGAAGCCTCCTCTGCCAACATTCGACTAAAAGATAAAATAGATTAGAGGGATAGTTTATGAATGGCAAGTATGGATTTACTCAAACAAACTAACAAAAAAGGTGACATTAGTTGAAAGTCAGTCAACGAGCAAGTCAAAATATTGTAGGCAACTTAAAGTTGTACGAATGATTGCGGTGTGATGAGAAATGAGGTCAGTTTGTTTAGTTGGACTGTTATTTCACTTAAATAAATAGCAATTCAGGGATTCTTGTTTCATCCTAAAAAAGAAATCATAAGAAATGTAAGCCTTGATTCTATACGACGTCACGTTGTAGGGTAATGTTTCTTATGAAGAGGATTAAACTCCACGAAAAAAAGCTTGCTTAACCAGATATATTTTTGATTATCTACTCAACTTTGTACGTATAGTAAAATGTTAATCTATATGACAAAAGCTAGTGAGAAATCACCAATGGTCCACAAATCTTAACAAACGTGATGAGTGAGCGATTTTATTTAACACTCTTCAATAATATGCCTTCGGCTAATAGTTTCACTTTAGGCTTTCCGCAGACTGTTGTAGACCATAATGAGGGGAAAAACATAGAACAATAGCATTTAAATTGTATGTTGAACATTTGTTATGAAATATTCATACATGCACATTATTTAAAGTAGATACTAACAGAGGGGTTAAGGAAAACCGAACAATGAATACCGCTTATTTTGGTATTTCGAAGTGAGAGCTTCGTGTATATGTGAACGACATACACTTCATAGGGTCATGGCGAAGAGATGTAAACAATCATTGATTTTTCGTGACGTGCATCATCATTCCTGTTTATTTATTCAACACAACTCATAAGCACACTAGTGTGGTTGACTATTGTACATTTTAAATCTATAATTTCAAAATTCATATTCAGTTAGACGGTCAAAGTTTCCCTCATGAGACCTACTTAGACGAGGTTTTTTTAATCAGATCATCTGTCAAAACACTTATAATCCAGGATATTTCCTCAATCTGAGGAATCTGAGAGAAAATCTGATTCATGATGGTTGTGACATTCTAGACCTGTGTATCATCATATATTTAAGGGTGGTCACGCACAATATTTTTATTATGTAAACTTTATCTTAACCTCATTCATGGAACAAAAAATCTGTGGGGTAAGAGGTGCAGTACTTGTAGAACCGACCCCTACCAACCCATTGTATTTTCGGAAACATCGATTGGCCAGTCATTATCAACGTGAAGCCTGGGATATTGTGTATTGACCTAAATTGAAGGAATGTAGCATAACTAAAGTTACCGGTGACCCGTAATTCACCTACTTTTGTTGAATCTCCGTAACAATTAGACTTTATCCTACAACCTCACATTTAATGCTTTTAGTCTTGCAGCTAACTAACTAACCATCTTGGAATAAAAGGATTGAAAGAAGCGAGTGTTTCGGATAACAGTTTGATTTGTAACGATTCTCAAGCCCAACTCCCGCACCAAAATGGAGGTCGCAGTCAGACTCCTCTACTAACACATGCTGTTATTTTCAGATTAACGAAACCAATTTCAGTACTTAATATTTCAAAACCGTAGAATAGTGCAATTGAAAGAAAAAAAGTTAAAGGATACATAATGTCTATTAGGTTTGTAAGCACAGATATGGTGAGAAATGAGGTCTTAAATAAACTAACCTTGTAACCAGTATGTTGGCTTAAGTGTTGGGCTAATTCGGGTTTCAGTAAACTCTTTCCACCCTGAACACTACCTAACTGGATTTGACCACCACTTGCATCTTGGATGACGTATGCGCCAGCTTGATCTATTGGTAATTCAACGAGTTGTCCTAAACTGGGATCTATGGCAGGTATGCTGGTGCTGAAAAAGTAATTAATATGCAGCTTTGCAACATTTACACAGCAAACATATCATCAAAATTATCTGTAACGGGGTGTATTAAAAGCTTGAGTCTTAAATACACAATATGCTTTAATGTAGACTAGAAAGCACTTCGTGACATTTAAACATATCACAGAAAATAGCAACTTACAATCGAGAAACTCAATATATATTTTCTAATAATACGTCCTAAATGCGATTTTTATTAAGGTCCTGGAAATATTCCTTATTTTCGAGTTCTTGCGTCAATCCTCAGGTGATTGTCTTTTAAACTGATCCTTAGCATCTGTCACCTAGCTACGTTTAAAGGAGACATTTAGTTGTAAGTTATTTGGATTCAGTAAGGTGTGTAAATGTGGTCACATTGAAACATAGTTACATTCCGAACATTTGCTCCAGAGAATAGCAAGGCAAATTACTTAAAGCAAGATGTCGCTGTGAAGGTATTTAACAACATGGCTGTGGAAGATCTAGAATACCAAACAAACTGTAGACTATATGACTACCGGTAGAATAATATAAACAACTAGTGGGGAAATGTGGAAATAACAAAAACTAAAACTATGAAAAGGAATCTTTGCATTTAATCTGTCAGGTGAAGATAATTTGTAGTTTTCCGTAAAATAAACAAGATAACTGAGTAAAGATAATAGTGTGAATAAGCAGCACTCGACATTACTTGTCAAGTTAAACTGAAAGGACTTTTTAGGGTTAGTATGTATCAACACAATTATTACTGTCGATCTTAAGTGTAACTATAGAATATAAATAATATTCAGTGGTTTGGATATGAACATGTTTGCCAGTTTGTCTGATCTAACAGTGAAGGATGAACGTTTAATCACTGTGGTTATCGAATGTTACTGAACTATAATACAGTTCTAGCGCTTACTTCGGCGTTTTATTGAAATGGAAACTATTGCATCAATGGAATAACTTGTTTCATGTGAGATGATAATCGTCAAGGGGATGTGAACGTTAGCCTGATGTTTGTTGACATATAAGCCAGCACATGAGTTTAAGAAATAATGATTCGAAAATTCAGACCTGGGTAGTAATCGGAGACGACATCATCAAGCTATTTAAAATTCTTGCTGTGCTAATGCGGTATGACAACTTGGACCGTTGCATATATGTGCCTGATCCTACGTTGTAGCTCACTGACTGCTATTTAAAACACTTCGGGTACATAAGTCTTTTAGAGCTGAAATATCTTTTAAGAAGCCTCTCCAGCCTTCTGTAAACAAGCATTAAAACCTATATTCTACGGAATTATATGCAATATATATATATATATATATATATATATATATATATATATATATACGATAAACGGAAGTGGGAATGTCTATTCCTTTATTATTTATTTTATTTAGTACATATAATGGTACAAATGAGTACCAAAATAAGTATGCGCCACACAAATAAGGAAATAGAACTATGAACAGATATGAGAGGATGAGTACAACCGAAAATAAATAGTAAGTGTGAAAGGAAATTAACTCCGCCTGTAACTTCTAGGGCTACTGCCGATCCCAAGCCCGGATAAAGAAGGGTTAGGTGTGGGGCCTGCAACCCCACCCCGTAGAAAGCAACCTTGCCGAAAACACTAACCAGAATGAAGAGAAATTACAACAGAATATTCACTGGCTTCTGAGCGGTGTTCTATAGAATCTCATAACATTGCGTTGCACTCTAGCCCTTCAATCACGGGGTTGAGATGGATCGATAGATATCAATCCTATACAGCTTACTTCTAGACCACGGTGCTATTATAAACTGACAAACTCCCCACTTTAACGATGTCTCAGAGTCGGTGATTAGTGCACGAAATAAAAGCCGCTGTGACGACTTTGGCGAGACAGCTTTAAGTGACCAAGACCAGTATTTGAAGATGGTGACACCAAAAAAAAATTATAATCAGTGTACCCAAGCACATTGTTTAGCCCCCCAATACCCCGGTATGGCTGAGTGGGGTGGACCCGACCTCCCTCTCGAAATGCTCTCACATGGCCACGCGTATACAGCCTCTGCCAAGGAAGTCCTACTCACTGCTTTCTCGTGTCGGGGGTGTTGTCTACGAAAATGAGAGGACGAAAAGCGAATGTCCGGTGCTTTAACCGGATCCCAAACCAATGGTGCACATGGGCTCCAGTATCCTGGGGGAACATATGGCGTAGGAACCAATCGTTGGTCACCGGTTACAATGAGACTGCATCTCCTCACGATGCTTCACTGCCTTGTGCGTCAGAGCTTTAGGTCAAAGGCTCGGGGTGTGACCCCTTAAGAAAACCACCTGCTTCGGTCTGAGCACTCTGGCAGTGTCACAGTCCATACACAAGTAAAATGAAAATGACGATTTAGCCAGGATTACTAACATAATGATGTCACCGCATGTCAGCAATCGCTTGAAGATAATATTGGTCGAACAGAGCAGTAAAACATACTCAACTCAAAAAGATCAAGATTCATAAAGGATACTCGATAGCTATGAAGAAATTTCCATCGTCACATTATTCAGTGTCTTTGACAAAAAATAAGAATGGTAAGATCAGGTAGAGTAATTGTGTATTTAAAAACATGAAACTACGACAACTTCAGGATATTTCCAATAAGGCCATGATATTAGCAACATGGAGTCTTGTGATCAGTATTCAGAAACATTCATTCTGAATCATTTTCTGACAGTTAGGGACTAAATGACTGAATTCTAGGTAACAAGTCATAAAACTTATGCATTTCGTCAAAAATTTTAATGACAATATGGTTTCGCTCATGTAATTTCGTGAACGAAAATACATGGTCTACGCAAACAAACAGTGCATGATGCCTGGCCACATTTCAAGTTTGTGAGTTGGGAGGATTGAATAAGTGAGAAATATGGTCACGTCTAAGCTGACTAGTTAACATGATAAATTAAGTCAGGGAACTACAATTCGATTCATTTAGCAAAAGCTCATAATGTGGAGTTATTTACAAACAACGTGCAACCTAGTACGAACGTACATCAGTTCGAACTGCTACAACTAAAATTAGCACAGACGACAAGTTACTAAGATTGAAGGTGGAAGGGTTGAGCTGAGGGATGTAATGAAAAGGCTGATGTAAGAAATTAAGTCCGGAAATAATGGATTGGTTAAAATGTAAATGCTACAATAAATATTACAATCTAGGTTCATTTCCATTGCTTGAAATAAACTACAACAATATTCAAGGTTACTGTGTTTGCAACATAGGACTACTTACTAGGTCAGCCAACCCGACCAACATGAGATACGGGTTAAATGACAAACGGTAACATTCACACCTAATTTAAAACTGAATGTTTATGAAGCCTTGAAAAGTGAAGACATTTGTCAAATAAATTCACGATCCTACCCTAATTCAGAAATCGGAGATAAATAGACGCCAACGGAGATAAGAATAAAATTTGAAGCTTTAAAACTAGCTTAACTGTGGAAATCCTACTATTGATTTTTAAATATCTAAGGCTTTTAAATGATAAACAAGTTGGCAAAGCTGGTGGGCTTCCTATGACTATTTGTTCAGACATTTAACTGCCAATGATTCCAATGATAAACATAGTTTGACCGTATGATATATTTAATACATAACTTATTAAGTTGAGTAGTGAAAATATATTTACGTTCTCGAGTGAAGTGAGATTTCTGAAGACTTTTCACGCAAAGATATGTGTGATTATTTAAATAATACCAAAATAATTACATATAAATACCAAAAACACAATATCAAGCAAAATACTTACGCATATGCCGTCATGACTAATGACCCTCACCTGCCCTTAATATCGAATAAGTGACACAAAAGGAGCACAACACAACAAGGACGACCCAATACAAATCACAAATATGTAAAGATTCTTGAACCAAAAGTACGACTTGATCAAGTAAACCAGGAAATATGAAGCTTCATGGAGACTATAAGTAACAAGACCTATTTCTTCCTAAGACAATGGACACCGTTTGTGTTTGAATGCATCAAACATCTAGACCGGATACTTTTCAATGCTATAAAAATATAAATTGGCGTAGTTAAACAAATTTACGAGATAATCAAAAACTTCTCACGGATAGATTTGCGAGTGAAGTACTGTATAAATCAAAATCTACAAGCAAACTGTTTGGGTTGTGTCGCTCTTCATCATCTTTCTAAACTGGATATGTTCTGTTTTCCATTTCATATCAAAGGTAGAGGAATTCTTGTCAGACGTAAGGCTGAAATGCCCGTGATTAAGAAACCATATAAATTTGGAATGGTGTATTGTATATAATGAAGTGATATGAACAGAAGATTGAGGTTGTTTAGTTGGCTGTTAAGGAAATAGAAGTAGCAAATCACCTGAAACATGAAATACTCAAGGAGAAGTGGTAATTTGGGGATGTGTTTTCTGGTTATTGAAAAACAGGAAGTTTGATATAAATCAAAAACTAATCATCATATGCATTTTTTGAAAAATCCCTTGCGTAAACTCTGCAAGTTCCCCATAACATTTTAGCCAGATATTTGAAAACTAAAACGATAAAGGCCGTTCTAGCGGTAAGTAAATGCTCAGCGTAAATAGTTCTGCAGGTCTTCAACATTGATATTGACCTCGTACGTTGTGATGGACGCGTCCTGGCCGAAAGCGCTAGGTCACAAATTTGCACCTGTTCACGAGTGAGTGTGTCGTGCAATCCATTTCTTGCAGGTACTAGCCAGCTTATATCAAACGTTCCTCAACACATCGACAACCTTCTAAATATATCTTCGACTTATTCATTCGTTACTTCTGATTTGACCGGGTTAGTATACTTTTACTGTGGAGCTGTAACGGACAAAGGCATTGTCAAATTGAATATCTGTGACATATTCATTGATGAGGTCGACCTGATCCGGTACACTTAACTGTAAACTGTGATATAATATACCACTTTTTGATTTCAATTTTTACATATCGCTTTATTATATTCGCATATTCGGAGTTTTTATCCATTTACATATTTTATGCTCATTGTAACAAAACGGATACTTAAACTGTTGAAGATTAAGACATACACACCCACCTTTCTACTCGTACCGTCATACGTCATACCTAGTAAGTTTCCTACTGAAGTTTCATAACCTTAATAGACTATTAAACGGTTCGGCGGTAAACAATCCGACCTGACCGATCGACATAGGTTAGACTAACTTGTTCACAAGATCTAACTGCAACGCAGCATAGCAACAGAATTGTTGCTACATGTGATGGAGGTCATTGGTAAACGGACCTTTGACTAGTACAGCTCTGGACAGCTTCCTAAAACATATGCAGGTGACTCTCATATCATTTTGAAATAACGCCACATACCAACTAGCTTTGTCTGCCGAACAGATTTACGAAGATCACCAGAACACCCAGAAATGAGGATTATTCTGTAAAAGAAAAACATCGAACCACACAAAACGAAAATGAATAGTTTCTTATCAGGGTATATTCTGATTAGCGCTTTTTAACAAGTTTGTTTTCTAAAGAATGGGGTTGTCAAACACGCGCCCAACAGTTTTTTACCTGGAATTGAGACTGGCAGTATCCATGGAAGAGCAACAGACGGATCGACAAAGCAAGGACAGCATTACTACAGTTGGATAATATACGGAACTCAGAACAACTGTCAAACAATATCAAAGTCAGAATCTTCAATACGAACGTCAAGTCAGTTTACTGTACAGAGAGAAAACTTTAAGAACTAATACAACTATTATCAGAAATGTACAAGCATTGATAAACAACGCTGCGTAGACAATATTGTCTACGCAAGATACTCAATGACCGTCGACTGGATGCCATCAGCAACAGCCTACTGTGGGAGAGAACAAATCAACTTCAGACTGAGGAGGGGATTAGGGAAAGATGTTGAAAGTGGATAGGATACGCATTAAAGAAATCACTGGACTACATGGTGGTGTGAGCACTAAATTGAATTCCTGAAGGGAGAAGCAAAAGTGGAAAAACAAGGAACATTGCGTCGGGAATCGGAAGCAAACATCAAAGGAATAAATAGCAACTGGAAACAACTAGGAAGGGTTGCCCAAGACAGAGCTGGTCGGAGAATGCAGGTGAGCGGCCTATGCTCCTTCACTGGGATCAACGGGCGTATGTCCTCGTATACTAGAAAGCGGTCGTCAATATCTACTTAAGCTCTCTTCTCTCTGTCATTTGTGTGAATTTACAATTTTCAAACGATCTTTACTAAATGCTATGGTGACCTTGGTAACAGCATTTTACTTGTGTCAAAATATTTATAAATTTAGATAATGAATTATAAATAAATGAGGGTTGGAAGCTAGAGTTTGCAATTATAAAATGGCTTTTTTACTACAAACCAACATCAACTATAAGGCCAAAATATATTGGCGACTAGTAATATACTCAAGTTGTCAGGTCATCTGAGTAAATCGTTGTCAGTAAATATGATCGTTTTCTTTTATTTAGTCACTCAGTTGTGGATATTTGGAAACAGTTTCTATCACAGAGTTAATTGAAGGTATCACTTTTGCTATGTTGCAACTTTTTTCCCATCATGAGTGTGTGCATCGCACTTGGCACGTCCATAGAGTAATGCAGTGGCATTTCCGTCGTAAAACATTTCATATTTTCCACGTAGGTCCATGAAATTGACAGAGAAAGTAACAAGCACTTCATCATGTACCACGATAGCTCAAAACAATTATTCACGACTCATTTATGGTTGGTTTTCAAGCACAAGGTCAAGATTAAGAATATGTCTGCAATTAAACGCAGTTTCGTTTCGAAATTTTGTCAATAGAATCAGCGACCAATCAGAATAAATCATTAGTTATCATTTCCGCCATCTCTGTGAACAACGGCGTCTCATTTGCTTAGTTCTGTTTTTTTCCAATGTTCTTCTGGTGTGGCTACATAATATAATGTTTAGATGTAATGAATTTCCCTAAGTTACGTAATGCTCAGAGAGTTCGTGCTAATTTCTATGGCTTCGTTATTCTTCCTCGACATATGGTGCTGCTACTCAGGTCAGTGTATCACACACTTAACTTTTACGAGTTGTGAAGCTTTAGCATACTAACTGAAGTGCGTGAGCAGTTCGATTTACCAAACTGCTCAGCTTCACTAAAGGCTTCAAGCATTAAGCAGAATTATACGATAACCAAGAATATCAAACTAAGCAAGTGTCATATTTTTTCATTTGCATATACGTGTTGCTCAAATTAATTTAATGTAGATAATCAGGCCTATAAATCAAAAACACGACATATAGTCCAATAGAACTTACCTAATATAGAACAAACGATATTGTTTCGAGCTTGAAGCCAACAGTTTAGAGCACAATAAACCTTTCTCCAATAACACTATTCATTGACGGTCTACTTTGAAAAACAACCATTTGGCAATTCATAGTGCAAAGTAGTCCATCTGCGACATGTTGCAGACTATAGTTACAACTTAGGAAACTCCTCTCTAGTAGTATCTAGAGCCGAAAAAGATTTAGGCGTCCTGGTGCCCTACGATTTAAAGTCTTATGCTGGGACAAAAATGTCTTTCGAGCAAGCCTTGCACTGGTAACACTGAAGCGCACTTTTGGCCAGTTTGACGGTAGAACTTTCCATACAATCTTCGGCAGTTTTATCCGCCCCCATATAGAGTACGGAGACTTAGTATTTCCTCCCTCACTCCAAAAGGATAAGGACACCCTGGAGTGTATCCAACAGCGAGCCACGAAATCATTCCAAGGACTCAAATTTAAACCTTATGGAGTGCGCCTCCAGTCACTTAACCTTTGACCATTGAAGTTTAGGCGTCTTAGAGGTGACCTTCTGATGGCTTACAGTATCTTTAACATTTCTGGACATCCTCTTAAACACCTACTTAAGCTTAGTTCCAATACCAACCTAAGGGGTAACACCCAGAAATTGGAGACAAAATATAGCAGAATGGAGTGTAGACACATCTTCTACTCCTTAAGAGTTGTCAAATGCTGGAATTCGCTGTCTGCCAAACTAGTCCAAGCGACTACCCAGGAGTCCTTTAAGAGGGAACTTGATCTATTAATAAGGTCTAGGGATAGTATCATACTATGATTTATAAATTTCTTTTCCCTCTTTTATCGTTATCATACCTAGGTTCCTGCCTGGAGGTATTCGTGACCCCCTGCTACTAAACACGGAAGGCTGTTAAGCGAAAGCTTCTCCTATTCTGTCCACAACGGTATTAAAAATCATTACATGTGACGTTAATAATATGAGTTTGTTTTCCTTATTGTAGGGCAACAAAAAATGAACGTACTAGAAGAAGAGGAACAAGCCTTAAGCAAGCTGAACCTGCAGAATGAATAAACCCATTTTGTAATAAGCTTCCCTTCAGTACTCGAACCGCGTCTTTCAATTTTTAAATATATCTCTGTTGTGCCAGTACGCCTTGTTCTTATTTCAGTGGCATTTACTGGTCCTGAGTGTTGTGTTGTGTTTCAGATCGCTCCTGCTTGCAAGTGAACGCGAATAGTACGTGCTACATTTGAACCATTTGGATCTCGCGCTAAATACTCGATGTCTTGAATCTGATTGGTTCGTCCATACCTTGTGGTCATGTCAACCGTAAACTTTAATCTATATATAAATACACGTGAAGCTTTCAGTGAAAGATTTCCCACATGTACGTGAAACTATGCCTTTTTTCATGACAAAAATAACGGTAAGCATGTGGAGATTTAGGAATCCTCGGAAATGTGCGATAAAGCCTCAAGACTGTCCAAGAAAACTGTCTTAACATTTAATGTTAAGTTATTTCAAGAGGACTGGAAGTAGGTGTTAGTTGGGACATAATATTAAGCTCATTGGTTATTTACGTCAGCTGTCATTGTACAGGCAAGCAATGTATTTATGTCAACTTATGCTTGATTATAATCAAGCAATGCTACTATAGTTGCGACTATATATAGTCGCCTTTTTTGTTTCCAGCTCGTCTGACTAAGTCATCTGTATAACTATTGGATTAGCTTTTTTATGCATGCAGAAAACATGTTAGTTGCTCATTAATTGGATTTAAATCCAAAACTCTGTATTCTATTGAAGAATCAAATTCTAAAGGCACTGTATTAATTAAACCTATTACCCTTCGTGGAGCAGCATAGGCCGCTCACCTGCATTCTCCGACCAGCTCTGTCTTGGGCAACCCTTCCTAGTTGTTTCCAGTTGCTATTTATTCCTTTGATGTTTGCTTCCGATTCCCGACGCAATGTTCCTTGTTTTTCCACTTTTGCTTCTCCCTTCAGGAATTCAATTTAGTGCTCACACCACCATGTAGTCCAGTGATTTCTTTAATGCGTATCCTATCCACTTTCAACATCTTTCCCTAATCCCCTCCTCAGTCTGAAGTTGATTTGTTCTCTCCCACAGTAGGCTGTTGCTGATGGCATCCAGTCGACGGTCATTGAGTATCTTGCGTAGACAATATTGTCTACGCAGCGTTGTTTATCAATGCTTGTACATTTCTGATAATAGTTGTATTAGTTCTTAAAGTTTTCTCTCTGTACAGTAAACTGACTTGACGTTCGTATTGAAGATTCTGACTTTGATATTGTTTGACAGTTGTTTTGAGTTCCATATATTCTTTAATTGTAGGAATCCTTGGGTTTTTGTTTGCCGATTTGTGCCTTTATTTTTTCATCAGAGCCTCCTTGTTTATCGATGATGCTGCCCAGGTACGTGGAAGTCTCCACGTCTTCCAGAGCTTCATAAAGTCTGGTCGGATTGGTGTTCTCTGTGTTGTACTTGAGGATCTTGCTCCTCTTTCGATGTATGTTGACACCTGCTGCAGAGTCTACTGTTGCACTGACTACATTTATATGCATATGTTGGTGTATGGGATGGAAGAGATAGGTCATCTGAAGTCCAAATCGTCTAGTTACATGCACGCTGTTCATTGTATTCCGTGCTTCCCCTGAAGTGCGGAGACCATCTAGTTGACCACCAGAAGAAAGAGGAAGAGCGAGAGTGATTAGCCTTGTCTGTCATGGGTCTTCACGTGGAGTTGATATTTCATCTGGCTTCCATACACGACTGTGCATTGTATTCTCATAAGAATTTCGTATAATGTTGATGATCTCAGGTAGGAATGCTCCATAAAGTTCTCCTATTCACACTTTCAGAGGCGATTTGGTCGGTTCATAATCGATCCTTACAGAATCCAGCCTGTTAATCTCGAAGTTAGGCGTCTAATGAATCTTCCATTTGGTTCAACAATACTGTTGAAAACATGTTTTGGTACTGATAGTGGCGTAACGCCTCTGTAGTTCTTAGCTCGCTAAGATATCCTTTCCTTGATATCTTGATGAGGTATCCTTTCCAGCCTGTCGGAACTTGTTCTTCCCTTCAAACCCTTCTGGGTAGTTCATGGAGCATCTTCGCAGTTACATTTCTGTCTGACTTCAGTGCTTCATATAGTACGTTGTCTGGTCCTGCATCTGCTTTCTCACTTTTGATTTGTTTAATGGTCATGCTGATTTTTTCTATTGTTGATGGAGTAAAGCTATGTGAAGGTTTGTAGGTGCTTATTTGTCTGGTGGGTTTAATGGGACTGGTCTATTCAAGAGTTCTTCAAAGCGTTCTACACACCTGTTTTCTGCTTTTGAATCTCAGTCATCAGCTTGCTTTCTTTGTTCTTGACTGGCGGCTTTGTTTTACTATGTCTCTCTGATAGTTTCTTCGTTGTATCACATATTTGTCTCATATTCCCTTCTCTTGTAGCTTTTCCCGCCGTCGTTCCTAGCTCTTCCACGTATTTCTGCCTGTTATCTCTACTTCTCTTTACTTGCTTATTTACTTCTGTGTATTCAACCTGCACATTGGCTTTCTCTACTGCTGTTCGATTGTTGGTAGTTGCTGTTTTCCTGTCCTTTCTTGAACCCTGTTCAGAGTTTCGATATAAATCCGTTTCTTATGATGATGGCTCTCGTATCCCGACACGTCTTAACTCTTTGAAGTTAATGGTTCTTTGATTCTGTCCCAGTTGTTCCACATAGTTTTTTCTTTTTTGAGCATATCTTGTAAGGCTTGGAACCCGTTGTTGAATGCTATCTTGAATTCACTGACCTGAATTTTTAGTGATGCAAATATGACCTATTTGGTTTTCTGTAGTATGATCCAGTGAGACCAATGTCGCTTTGTGCATGCGTTTATGGGGGAATATAATTCCATTTATAACCATTTCGTTTAAGGTACATAAATTTGCAAATCTCTCACTATTCTCGTTCCTTTTTGCTTCAGTTTGGGCGACCAGGCAATATTCCAGCCCCCACGCAAATCGAATTTGTGTGGCACATATGTATTTGGTGCCTCCTTGTACCAATTTTTGTTGATTTAAATAAAATAAATATTACTTAGTGTTTAGGTCTCCCATCAGGATGATCAGGTCCTCTCCTGGGCACTTCTCTACGATCGATTGTAGCCTCCCACAAAACTAATCTTTATCGTCATTGTTGCTATAATTGGTGAGTGGTTAGCACTGAATAACATTCATTGTGATCCCTTCCTTTGTTCTGAAGGATGCATTAATGATTACGGACCCATGAGATTCCCATTATATAAGTGCTTTTCGTGCTTCTTTGGACAGCATCAGTAGAACTCGTTGCGCGTTCGAAGCACTTCTTAGTGACCACAGTACAATAACACCTCTACCGAATCTAATCTCTTCTGTCCAGCTTGGTTTCGAATGGTTTTTCTTATAACGAGAACCGCTAAGTTGTACCTCCTTATTTCCTCAGCTATTTGACTGGTCTTTTCAGTCTCCTACATTGTCCGGACATAACATGAAGCTATATTAATTGTTGCTCGAGTTGTTAGATGAGGCATCGGTCAGGTGATTTCTGAAGAATCTCAGATTTGATCATGAGGCGTTATAATTCTAATGAATGGGGATCCTTCAAATCTCAAGGGCAGAGTTTGAATGGTCTAAATTGTTTTTTTCTGGTTAGTGTTTTTTTAGCAATGTTTTTTCTACAGGATGTGGTTTCTGACCCCATGCCCAACATTTATTTTATGTCCTGGTTTGGGACCGTAAGTAACCCTAGAAGGGCTACAGGTGGAGCTCGCTGTATGCTTATCCTGAATAAATTCAGGCTGAGTTGATCTTATTGATCTTAATGAGAATCATCGTCCAAGTATACTTTCCGTTGTAATGAGTGGTATGCGATTCAGTAAGTACTTCTTATTGAAAAAGAAAGTTCCACGTTTCATTTTATTTTGTTAATTCGTGATCACATCCAATCAGCTGAATAAAATTGGTGAAATAGCATCTGTTGGCTCTGGTTATTTTCTGCATAAGACACTAAGTCTCAACGGCTCGCTTGGTTATACTCGGACTATAACAACCTAATGGTTATATATATGTCAATCCGTACTGAAATGAGGGTAATAAAAGACTTTGTCTTTTACTAGCTCTTCGTCAAGGTACTGATTACTGGAGTTATCTTTATTTACCAAAAATTATGGTTTTCAACCTATCAGAAAGCGTTTCTCGTTATCAATAAAGAAAAGTTATCTTCATGAAATGCTGTTACTTTTAACCCCTACAGGTTACCTTGTCTCTGCTGATTTGTTTTTATGTTAATTTCATTCTTTATTTATGAAACAATGGCATTCGAAGTACTCAAACCATTTGACTTTTGACCACTGATCTGGGGCTGATCGTTTACATGTAATATTGTAGTTTTAAACAATCTAGAATCATGTATAACATGAGTATCTGTGTAACCATGTAGCTGATTGTCCTATGTATCTTAAGACATTTATCGGTCTCTATGAAACAAAAGCTGCAGCTTAATGTTTTTGTAACTGAGTAGCATCATTAACCTTCAAACTTAGAGTGTGGCTCATACCTAAGAACCTAATGAATGAGTCAATTTATTGTTTAGTTTTATTCAACGGGATACATTAAATATATCCTCGCCGTGATGATCAGTGTACATAATGATCTACTTGATAATATTATTCAACAAATGTAGAATCATTCATATAATACATCCGAATTGTCATAAAGTGCTTTGGTTTCTTCGTTTATTGCCACTAGAAAATGTAACTAATCTCAAAAAATACTAAACTCAAGTAATTCTTTCGGCCAACTTTAAATACATATGTATTAGATTGAAACTTTAGTTAGCTAGTTTCTTGTTACCCTCATAGCGTTTACAAATTATTCTTCTTCAAAGTTCTATTACTTGATAATCTGATACTCATTAACTTGATAAAATCATAACTGTGATATCACAAGTCACCTTTTAATTTATGCTAAAGTGAAGCACTTAGTTTGATTTTCCAACTAACTTGGAGTTTAGTCTCTTACGATCAGATATTTGACCTCATCGGATGATGGGATTGTCAAGAATGAGAACTGTGGTATGATCTAATTCAGTCAAATAACTTTTGATAGTTGTAAAATTGTATTCTCTATTAGTATTTTTACTAATTCATTATCTCACCCATTAAACATTAGTTTATGCATTTCATTTTTATTTTTTAGACTTATGTCGCGTCAGTTAAATTTTGTAACTGGTAATCCAAACAAATTATCTGAATTCCTTAAAATTATTGGTGAGGAATTTACTGGAAAAGTATTTTGGGTTATTTCATAGTACGATAATATTATCATTTTTTAATAGGTAAAAACAGTTGATCTAGATTTACCTGAAGTTCAAGGTAGTATCGAAGAAGTGAGTATACAAAAATGTTTATCTGCTTTTAAAATAATCAATGGACCTGTATTAATCGAAGATACAGCACTTTGTTTTAAAGCATTGAATGGAATGCCTGGGCCTTTCATTAAATGGTTTTTAAAAGCGGTTGGTCCTGATGGTAATTGTTTTGTTTCATTTTCGTTAATAAACTTAATTTTCTTTTGTGATTGGTTGTAAACTGTATATATTACATTTTTTATGGTTGTACTTTGTTGTTGATTTTCATGGGTGCTAAGATACTCTGGTTATTAGAACAAGGAAACTGATCAAATATTTGACTGATTTGCCAAGTACAGATTTATGTACTCATCTCTGAGCCACACTATATACGCTAATTGAAATATATGGAACAAAGTCCAAACATGCTATCGACTGCTTATTTTTGTTTATAGGATTTATGAATTTCGGTACAATAGAACATCAAAATATGAGATTGTTGTGTTGTGAGGAAATAAAAGAGTAAAGGGTTGTACAATTAGAGATACAGACAGAACGGATTTTTTCTCATCTTTTAGGGTTCAGTTTATCTTTATTAACACTGTAATAGAAAACCATATCAGGATGGTCTTTGGCTTTTGTTCTGAGTCATTGGCCATCACTTTTAGGTCCTCAGATAGGGAGTCGTGATGGACCAAACAGATGCCAGTCTTATGTAGCTATTTTTCATACCATGTAAGACCTACTAGTTGAAAGCCAACTGATTCAGACAGTAAGTCACTATTCTGTAGGCTTTGAGTACAGATTTGGAAATAATCACCTGTTAAGTAGTATGTTAACATTGCATCCCATCGTCATTTTGTCTTCTCAAAGTATTATTTTTAATTCATGAGTTATTTTACAGTTGTTTACCGTCTGCATTAATAGTGTTGGGATTTAATGGTAAATCACTAAGAGGTCCTGAAGTTTGTTTATACTTGATTACATTTACACATCGAATAATGTGTGTATACAACTTCTAAACAGTTCATCCTTTATACGATATTTAAACCTACATTGTTAGACAAACTATCTAATAATGTCAATTTAAACTAGTGCAACTCATTTGCCAAACACAGGTTTATATATTAACTATCGAGTTTTACTTTGTCTTTGTGGGCTAATGCTACTATCCAGTTGTTCATATCGAAGTAGGTAAAGTTGGCTTCAAACTTACGACTCAGTGGTTTGAGTTTGATTAGTCAACATCTAAACCACAGATAAGCTATCCGTGGTACAAATATAATATTGATCAAAGCCGTTAATAATAATAATAATAACAGTCACCATATTATTCGTCTCCGTACAGATCATTTATATCGTCGGTACTGGTCAAAGTATTTCACAAAGAGTATTAAGGATATTTGTGATATTTAATATGGCTGCGTGTTTGTTCATGTAATATTACTCACATAGTGTTTACTATTAATTCGTATATTCAAACAAGTTAACATAGAAAATCTTTTATGTGTGTATGCAATTATAGTTAAGAAGCTTCGACGTTTAAGTCACATGTCGGAACATCACTGTTATAACTGCTAATCCACTGGGGTTTCCCCGCGCGGGTTCGAATCCCATCCCTGTCGCTAAATTTGGCTAGGTTTGAAGCTATTACGAGTTCACTTAGTATGCGAACGGAACAAAGACTTGTGACCGTAGACCAATAAGCTAGCTATTTGATGCGTCCCAGCCCCGCTAACTAGAGGAAGAAGTCCAAGCTTGGGACGGGAAAAGTATATTCCGTAAACCAGAAGCACGAGTGAATAATAATAGACACAAATCAAACGTATATATACAGCATAAGACTGTCCTTGGGAATCGTTGCAAAACTGCATACTAAAAATACACAACGGACCAATAGCGTTAAAGATTCTTCCAAGTGGGAAATACGACATGAAGGTGAAAAGTGCGCTTTGATTTGATTTTCCAAAATAAAATTACAAATTTAAGGCATTTACCAAGTGAGTTCTGGGGATCTAACATCTCCAAAAATACTTCCTTCACATCGGCTTGAACAGCCGAGCGATATCACTAGCCCTCAAAATCAAGTGACTGAATCCGTACTTGGTGGACTCATTTTCAAATTTTTAATCAAATGGCTAGAGAGTTGATCGTTTAACTGTCTAAGGCACTTCTCGTAGTAAAACTCAACATTTGGAAGAGGTTAAGAAAATGAATGAATCTGCTGCACTGCAGCCCATTGTAAGCTATATGTCACCTTAGGTCACTAGTAATAAATTACGATTATTGTGTTTACCATAGTCAGAAAGTCTAGATTTTACTAAATAGTTCAGACCAACAGTCAATCACTCTACAGATTGTTGGTCGTCTCTTAAGTCAGGGACCGCTAACATTCACCCGTACCTGTTCGATCATTATTTACCATTGCTTGTAGTAGATACGATTACTTCTTTCCACAGAAATATGATGAATTTAATTCCTAACTTATTATAAATATGTACTCAATTCACATTGCCATTTCCATTAATTTTATGTTCATTTATTTTAAATATCTTGTTTAGGACTACCTCGTATGTTGATTGACTTCAATGATTATCGTGCAGAGGCTGTATGCACTTTTGCTTATTGTGATAGCCTTGAAAAACCAGTACAATTATTCACTGGTATCACATCAGGTTGTATTGTTTCACCTCGTGGACCACGTGATTTTGGATGGGACTGCATATTTCAACCGGATAACTTTAAACAAACTTATGCTGAAATGGATAAATCTACCAAAAATTCTATATCACATCGATCTAAAGCGTTAGAAAAAGTGAAGTCTTTTTTGCTGAATCATGGAGTTTAATGAAAGCAGTATTTTTTTTCTCAGTTTTGAACAAAAACAAAAGTTTATAAAAGGAATATTGATATTTTGAATTAATTATTTTATACATTTAGATTGAACTACTTTTTTTCATTTAAAGTAACATAGAAATATTACTGATTTATGTTTAAACTCATTAAATAGGATACAATAGACAAACATCATTATTTCTTGATAAAGTTAAATGACTAGGTTTTTCTAAAACGGGTTTCTTCTACTCACTCGTTCGGAGTTTAAAGATCCTCTATGTTTTTGTCATTTATACTCGTTATATGCTGTGGAAATTGCTTAATAATTACACAACTTGGATCACACGGGGGTAAATTACGTTTTTGTAAAGGAGGATAACTTGGCTGTGTCTATGATTAGCAAATTAATATTCTAGTGGATAATTGGAGTTCCGAAATTCACAGTGATTTCATGATTCTTAAGGTAATTTTGCTTCTGGACTGGTCTGCATCTACACCTAAACTGTGAAAACAGAATATATAGGTGGGTTATTAGTATTTGTCTATATATTCCTTGTGAACGGTGCATGTGTATGTTATGACTACTGATTGAGTATTTCTGAAATTTAAATAAAGCAAGAACAAATAATGGTGCAGAATAGTATGAATTCATATTATTTCGAGGTTTCTCGTCAGCTGCTTACAAACCAAAATTGTGATAGAATTTGTACATTGAGATATAGTGAAAACAATTAACATAGATGAGCGTAAATAACTGGGTTACAATAATAATTGTAAATATATATATATATATATATATATATATATATATATATATATATATATATGCTAGAACAGGTCAGAGGTCAAAAGGAATTCATTCGGGTTGGGTGGTGTAATAATGGAATTGAATAATTATAAGATAGGTTACGTAATAATAATAAAATAGAATTTGAAAAGTTAAGATTATTTAAGAGGATCAGGTGGCGGAAATGTGTGAATGATAATGTGGTTTAAGAATTATGTAATAGGGGAGGAGTATGAATATTTTAAAAGAAATAAAATAAAAAGGGGTTACCATGGTAGTGATAAGTTAATTAAAGTCTCTTTTTGGATTCATAAGTCAGCTTTAAGTTTTTTGATCATGATGGCTTCAGCAAAACGGAGGGTGGTCGTACTTCTTTGTCTATTGATAATTTTGAAGGCATGTGGAATCTCGATGGTGTGCCCGGTGTCAAGTAGATGTCGAGCTATTGCGCTGTTGAAGGCCTTATTCCCTCGCAGCCTCAAGTTTTTTGGAACATGCTCAGAAATGCGGACATGCACTCTTCTCTCAGTTCTTCTAATGTATGTGCTTTGGCACGTACATGTGAATTGGTAGATGCAGTTGGAGCTACTAAGGAAAGAGGGCTTGTCGATTTTGGTTTGTTGAAGTGAGCAGTTCGTTTGCCATACTGTCATAAGTTTTGCTGCTGAGTAGGTGACTTTCAACGCAAAGTTTATTCTGTGATTAATTATTCCAGCAATTTAATCACCTTTGAAACGTAAGTGTAAGAAGCAGGTTTTTCTTTCTACTCCATCGTATTTTGTACGAGGATTGCTTTTTGCATATTTCTGGATAAATTTCAATGGGTATTCATTATCACGTAGAACATTAGTAATCAGATTAATTTCATCATCAAGGTATTCTTTTGAACAGATTTTTTGAGCGCGGTCAAAAAGGGTTCGTACAATACCCTTTTTGTAACTCATTGGGCAGAAACTATGGTAATTGAGATATATACCACTCCAGGTATTTTTATGGTGAATATGTCTATGTAATTTACCATCAGATGTACGTCGGATCCGAACATAAAGGAAATGGAATTTGTCTTCGGTTTCTTGTTCCATAGTAAACTCTATGTCCTTGTGTGCTTTATTAAATAGATCGAGTAGTTGAATGGCGTGTTCGTGATTGTTGCAGACGAGGAATGTGTCATCAATATATCTGCAATACAGTGTAGTACCATCGATTGCGTGCTTAAGCATTTTTTGTTCTAGGTGTCCCATAAATATATCGGCGAGAATTGGGCCCAATGGGCTACCCATGGCAACTCCATCGATTTGGCGGTAAATGACATCATTGAATTGAAATTGTATGTTTTTTGTACAAAAAAAGAGGAGCTGTTTAAAATCATGAATTGGTAGGGGTAGAAGTTCAGGATAACCACATATGATCTCTATCGTTTCTTCCAAGGGGATGTTTGTGAAGAGCGATGAGACGTCAAATGAAACCATAAATTTGTTGGAAAGGTATTTTACAAGCACGGACAGCTTTAATAATATGACGAGGAAAGCAGCCATCATTCAAGCAAAGAAAAATCTAATTGATAATCATACATACAATGAACTTAAACCTAAAGGATCACAATTACCATGCTTGTACGGCCTACCCAAAACTCACAAGCCCAATATCCGGATTAGACCAATACTATCCATGGCTAATTCACTTTTCCATAAACTCGCCCGCTGGCTGACAAAGTGCCTAGAACCAATCCGAAAGAAACTAACACCTTACAGTCTAAAAGATAGTTTTGAATTTGTACAAAAACTCGACAACCTAAATGTTTCCGACAAATTTATGGTTTCATTTGACGTCTCATCGCTCTTCACAAACATCCCCTTGGAAGAAACGATAGAGATCATATGTGGTTATCCTGAACTTCTACCCCTACCAATTCATGATTTTAAACAGCTCCTCTTTTTTTGTACAAAAAACATACAATTTCAATTCAATGATGTCATTTACCGCCAAATCGATGGAGTTGCCATGGGTAGCCCATTGGGCCCAATTCTCGCCGATATATTTATGGGACACCTAGAACAAAAAATGCTTAAGCACGCAATCGATGGTACTACACTGTATTGCAGATATATTGATGACACATTCCTCGTCTGCAACAATCACGAACACGCCATTCAACTACTCGATCTATTTAATAAAGCACACAAGGACATAGAGTTTACTATGGAACAAGAAACCGAAGACAAATTCCATTTCCTTTATGTTCGGATCCGACGTACATCTGATGGTAAATTACATAGACATATTCACCATAAAAATACCTGGAGTGGTATATATCTCAATTACCATAGTTTCTGCCCAATGAGTTACAAAAAGGGTATTGTACGAACCCTTTTTGACCGCGCTCAAAAAATCTGTTCAAAAGAATACCTTGATGATGAAATTAATCTGATTACTAATGTTCTACGTGATAATGAATACCCATTGAAATTTATCCAGAAATATGCAAAAAGCAATCCTCGTACAAAATACGATGGAGTAGAAAGAAAAACCTGCTTCTTACACTTACGTTTCAAAGGTGATTAAATTGCTGGAATAATTAATCACAGAATAAACTTTGCGTTGAAAGTCACCTACTCAGCAGCAAAACTTATGACAGTATGGCAAACGAACTGCTCACTTCAACAAACCAAAATCGACAAGCCCTCTTTCCTTAGTAGCTCCAACTGCATCTACCAATTCACATGTACGTGCCAAAGCACATACATTAGAAGAACTGAGAGAAGAGTGCATGTCCGCATTTCTGAGCATGTTCCAAAAAACTTGAGGCTGCGAGGGAATAAGGCCTTCAACAGCGCAATAGCTCGACATCTACTTGACACCGGGCACACCATCGAGATTCCACATGCCTTCAAAATTATCAATAGACAAAGAAGTACGACCACCCTCCGTTTTGCTGAAGCCATCATGATCAAAAAACTTAAAGCTGACTTATGAATCCAAAAAGAGACTTTAATTAACTTATCACTACCATGGTAACCCCTTTTTATTTTATTTATTTTAAAATATTCATACTCCTCCCCTATTACATAATTCTTAAACCACATTATCATTCACACATTTCCGCCACCTGATCCTCTTAAATAATCTTAACTTTTCAAATTCTATTTTATTATTATTACGTAACCTATATTATAATTATTCAATTCCATTATTACACCACCCAACCCGAATGAATTCCTTTTGACCTCTGACCTGTTCTAGCATATATATATATATATATATATATATATATATATATATATATATATATATATATATATATATATATATATATATATATATATATATATTTACAATTATTATTGTAACCCAGTTATTTACGCTCATCTATGTTAATTGTTTTCACTATATCTCAATGTACAAATTCTATCACAATTTTGGTTTGTAAGCAGCTGACGAGAAACCTCGAAATAATATGAATTCATACTATTCTGCACCATTATTTGTTCTTGCTTTATTTAAAGTCATAAAGGGAACCAATTGCATGAAAGATTTCTGAAATTATATACGTGGTTATAGGTAAAAACACCGAATCAATTGATAAGGTAATGAGTCCTCATCGATTGTGTTGGTGGAGGTATGTATTACGTTTACTCAATTACCGCGTTCAGTATTTAATGTCTGCTGCTATGGGAGTTGATTGGAAGAAGCTAGTGTGGTATGTACTACTGGCGTCAACAGATATAAGTAGTATGTATCATCAATCGAAAGTGAAATACCTGACGGCAGAAGGTTAAGAAGATCTATGGAAAGACAACAAGGACAGAAAGTGGTTGGCATGGAAACTACGGAACAGTCAAGTCTGAGACAGTTGATTGACATTTTACAAATGAAGAATTTAATGTATGGTTCTCAAATTTTACCAAGAGATTCTGTAATTTTTAGTTTAAATACATCTGATTTTTCCTATTGGTGTTCTCGTTTTTTACACTAGGAGTGGCCTAACCGGAACGTGGCAACAATCTATTGAGCGATTGATAGTTACACAGTTGTTTTGTTAGCTTCAGGCTACTTTGTTGTAGTTCTCACAACTATCGTTACCGTTGGTTGACCACTTAATCATTCATATGCATATATATTCATATGCATTCACTCATTGTTTTTCATTAGATCTTAAGCTTTAAAAGACTGTCTTTCTCAGTTCGTAAATTCATTCTCGGGTCGTATTATCTATTGTGAGTATAGACTTGTGATGATTGTTGAGTTTCGTTGAAATCACGAATCGATCAATGTGAGGTTACCATTGGAAACCTGGAGGGAGGTTATCTGTGTCTTTTTTTTTTTCTACTGCTACTGGTGCTGTGGCTACCTCCAATATTTTGACATTTGTCTTGATAATTTTATCTTACTGTGCTAATGTAACATGGTAAGTTAAACCGATTCAGGTGTGTGCGAATGTCTACGTTGATTATAAATGACTGAGTTTTATGAGTTTTGATAGCATAATC